AACGTGAGTGTCTGGGGCCGCCGTAGTGCCGTCTTGCCGCCGTCTTGGGCATTCGAAGGGCCTTCACAGGCCGTCTGGGGTCTCACAGGAGGCTCGGTTGGGCCGTTTGGGGGCCGCCTTGCATGCCTTGTGGGCCACCGTGGGGTTCTTCGGGCCACATCAGGCCTCCGGCGTCTTGCGAAGTCCACCGTGGACTGGCTTCTGAAAGTTGCTTGTGGGCCCCCGCAGACGTCCACCGCGGGCCCCCCAAGAGCCATCGAGGAGGACGCACCATGAGGAGACACCACGTCTGGGGACACCACGTCTGGAGACACCTCCCTGGTCACGCTCGTTATACCGCCATCAGATACAAGAAATGGTCTTCTATGAACGGCGGTCAGCCAGTCCCCTCCGAGCCCCTGTGGCTGACCCTGTCTTGGGCGACACACGTAGCCGACCCCCTCCCCTCGTTATCGCAAAGAAGAAACACGCCATAAACATAAACTGTTGGCGCTAGGCGCGGATTCCTTGGATCCGCGCGCCCCCCTCCCCCCCCCGGGCGGTGCCTCCGGCGCTGCCCCTGGCGCGGTTTGCGCTCAGGCAGGGGGGTCCAGCCCAGATCCAAGAAACCCGCACGGAGCGCCGACAGTGTATAGTTATGGCGCCTTTTCTTTTTCTGTTATCGCCGACGTTGGGAGCTACTTTGAGCGGCCAGCGGGGGTTCGCGGCATGGCTCTGGATGACGCGGGCCAGCGCCGACCCGGGCCTGCGCATCCCCAGGAGAGCCCAGGGGACACACCTTTTTGGAAAGTCACGGCGCCACGGGGTCGCAAAGCCAAGGAGGAGCGAAGGTCGCGGGCTCACGGTGTCGGCATGGGGTTGGAGGAGGAGCGGAAGCAGGTGACAAGCCCTCCTCCCCCCCTACTCCTCCTCCTCCTCCTCCTCGTCCTCGTCCTCCTCCTCCTCCTCCTCCTCCTCCATCTCCTCCTCCTCCTCCTCCTGTGCTCCAGAGGCGTCCTCCTCCTCCTCCTGTGCTCCAGAGGCGTCCGTCGTCGTCCTCCTCCTCTTCTTCCTCGCCATCCTCCTCCTGCCTCCCTCGGCCTCCTTTTCCTTCTCCTCCTCCTCCTCCTCCTCCTCCTCCTCCTCCTCCTCATCCTCCCCCTTATCAAGAGCTACTTGAACGGCGCAAAGAATGGGGTTCGTCTTCACCGACATTGGCGCGTAAGCTGCACGCGTGAGGTAGCGCGTAAGAGCCCTCTTCTCTGTTGTGGCTTGCCGCGATGGTGGCCCGCGTAAGCCACCGCGTAAGTTTTGATCGTCGCTCAGTTGCAGAACCAGGATGAGGATGGGGTGGGGGACGCGGAAGACTAGCGAAAGCCCAGAATGTATTGTTACCCAAACCTCTCTCCTAATGGATTGGGCCTGTCTGTCGGTCTGGCGGCTGTGATGCCGCCGTCGCCACCTCGTCGCCACCCGTCGTCTGGGCCCGTCTGTCGGTTTGGTGGCTATGTTGCCGCCGTCGCCGCCACGTCGCTGCTCGTCGCCGCCCGTTGTCTCTGCCCGTGTATCGGTCTGGTGGTTCTGGTGCCGCCGTCGCCGCCCCGTCGCCGCCTCGCCGCCCCGTCACCGCCGTTAGATTGCATCACATGAATGTCGCAACATATATTCCATATCCTGGATTGCAACTAATCTTCCTTTCCTAACAGAAAATCGCACCCCTGCTTGGTCATACAATGTACATATGATCCTGCCCCATCATCCATCCTAAATATCAATTCGTATCATCCCAGCCGAGCCGGTATCGACCCCCTGGCACCCTCGGCAAAAATACAATGCGCGCGCCTTCGTTTTTCGAAAATCATCAGTAGTCGAGAATCCCGAGCAAACCAACGGGACGAAGTGCACACGCACGACGTCGCGCGCTTGCCGAAATCTGTCGCACAAACTTCGGTTGCGTAAGGGTTGCAGAATCGAGTGTCCAAACAACATATCAAACACACTGGTTTCGCAAAACGGGTTTCCACAACAAAGTTTGCGCGCGTTCTTGCAAATGTTTGAGGAAGTCATGGGTTTCAACATTATCATAACATGCTACGGAATTGGCTTCGTTCGCGCATGTCGAAATCGTTCGAACGCCCTTGCGCGCGTGCTGTCGCGAGAATCCTTTTTTCAAACAGCGGGACGGAATGTCGCGCGTGTGAAAAATCAGTCAAGCACTTCCGGAGTCGTAACGATTTCAAAACCCAGTGCGCCAAACACATTTAACAACATATGGTTCCGCAGCATTAGTTATCACAAAAACGTGCGCTCGCGCTCTTGCGAGTTCTTGAAAAGAACTAGGTTTCAACATGCTCATGGAGCTCTGCCAAACTACCTCTAGCGCTGCATGCCGATCTCATTCGCACGTCCTTGCACGCACGTGTGCTGGGGGGGCACGATCCGTGTCAAATAGTAATATCCATCCGGGCCATTCGCGCGTCGGCCGCGCGCGCATGTCGAAATCTTTCCAAAACCTCCATCACCGACGCAAGGACACCATCATCGTCGTCGGCGTGATCAACATCGGCGCCGTCACTGGCCGCGCCGTCCCCGGTGTCAACATCGTGACCAGCATCGCTACTATCATCGCCGCGTCTACCGTTGTCGACGTTGCCATGATACCGCGCCCGCTCAAGTCGCCGACTCGCACTGAAAAAGGCCCGCTGGGATGTGCCCAGCGGTAAGCGCCGCCGGGGCCGCGTCGGTCGCGCCAAACTAGCTGGACGCTGCGCGCGCGTGCTTGGGTTGGCGCGGCCGCAGAGATGCATCAGCCAACGCCAGTACTCATTGCATGGGCTTTGCAAGCCAAGTTGCGGGCGGGTGGGTGGGATGCCTGCAAGAGCATGGACTGTGTCAACTCGTTCGGTAAAACAGACTGCACCACATATATTGCGCCACGTAAGTTGCACAACATGGGCCGCGCAACATGGATCGCATCACGTAGTTTGCACCACATTGGTTACCGCATATAAATTGCATAACATGGTTTGCGCCGGAGAGATCGTTTCTTCATACATACGTAAATGTATGTGACACCACGTAGATTGCACAACTGATCTTGCACCACATATGCTGCACAACATATATTGCACAGCGTAGGGTGCATAACCCAGGTCACACATGACCTCATATGTGGCTCCATCTAGGTTTGCTATACAGTGCTCCGACACACTGCTTGAGGTCCACGTTGGATTACATATTTCAGCGCTGTGCACAGGGCCGAGGGATGTGCGGACAGGCCGGGGGGCGTGAGCGTCAGCAAGCCATTGGAACCTAAACGGCCACAGCCGCATCTACGCGGTCACAGAATAGGCAGGATCAGTGGATGGAATAGCCACAGGAAGCTCTTGGGATCCAGAGCGTCCACGGGGAGAGTGCCACGGAGAAGGCACGCTGTAGGGAGGGAAGCCACAGGAAAACGCAGGAATACAAGCGACCCGCGGAGCAGCGCCCGCTGGGATGGAGCCACAGAAACCATAGGAATCCAAGCGGCCAACGGAAGGGGCAACGACAGGAGGGACGCATCGACTCCCAATCGCCCACTCATCGCCTATAAGGGCTTCATGGCACACATCGCCGAGGAACGTGAGGTTTCGCAATCGGGGGGCCCGTCGTCGATCTATCGGCGATGCAACTCCAAGTCAAGCTCGATGTTCCCCTCCCCCGGGAGCTGGGCCCCCTTATGTCTTTCCCAGAGACCGAGCAAGAGCCCATCCGTTCAAGCACTGCTCTTGCTCATTCAGACCTCAGCAGCGTAGAGCGCGTTCCCGCTGGCAGGGGCACGTTGGATTGGGCCCCCGCCGACGTCAAGACGAGAATAGTGACGCCGTGACCCAGAGCCCTTGACCCCGTCTCGACACGGAATATTCCCCGCTGAGTCGATTGACGATGGTCCGAGGGCCCGAAACGAGCCTTTTCGGGGCGGAATCTTATCCCGGCTGCCCGTGTCCTGGTGTTTTCGTTTTTGCGCCCATGGTCAGGACATGATGGGGAGACCACAGCATTGGCAAGACAAACGCCCGTTGAGCTTTCCACCCGCCCTGGCGCTCAGGAGTTCCGTCCGCATTGGCTTGGCGGTATCCGCCTTGGACTACGCAGCTGCAGGCTCGCCGCTGCCCCTGCGGTCCACGGCTCGCGCTGGCCCCGCGCCATCCCTGCCTGGTATGGCGCGCATCGGCCCGACCCTGCCCGTTGCTGACAGCGCCGCCACGGGACCCACGGCGCCGCTCAGGAGCCCTGTGTACCTCGGCCCTGCTGTTCCCGCAATTGGGCTGGCGCGCCTCGGCCCCGTGTCCCCGCCGCCGGCGACGGAGATTGCGGCATCGGGCAGCCCTCCGCTACTGAGGAGCCCCGCACGCCCTGGCGCCTCGGTGTCCGCCTCTGGCTCCGCGGGTGCAGGCTCGCCGCCGCCTCTGCGGTCCACGGCTCGCGCTGGCCCCGCGCTCCCTCTGTGCGGCACGGCGCGCACTGGCCCGACTCCGTTCGTTGCTGACAGCGCCGCCACGGGACCCACGGCGCCGCTCAGGAGCCTTGTGTACCTCGGCCCTGCTGTTCCCGCAATTGGGCTGGCGCGCCTCGGCCCCGTGTCCCCGCCGCTGGCGACGGAGATTGCGGCATCGGGCAGCCCTCCGCTACTGAGGAGCCCCGCACGCCCTGGCGTCTCGGTGTCCGCCTCTGGCTCCGCGGGTGCAGGCTCGCCGCCGCCTCTGCGGTCCACGGCTCGCGCTGGCCCCGCGCTCCCTCTGTGCGGCATGGCGCGCACTGGCCCGCCCCTGTCACTTGCCGACGTCGCAACCCCTGGAAGCTCCTCGCCGGCGCGGAGTATTGCAAGAGCGGGCCTCGCACCGTCTGCCTTTGACTCCGAGCATCCAGAATCCTTTTCGTTGCCGAGGTCTTCCGCTCACACCGGTCTATCATCGCTGGCGTCAGACTTCGCCAGTATGGGTGCGCCGCCCCCGCCGAGGAGCCTCTCGCACCCGGGCCCTGCAACGCCGCCGTCCGGCACGGCTCGCACCGGGCCGACCCCGCCCGCCTGCGATAGCGCGAGCACGGGCCCTGCCGCGCTGCCCAGAAGCCCTGTGCACTCTGGCTCGGCGCCCCCCGTGTGCGGCCTGTCAAGGGCGGGCTCCGTGTTCCCGCCGTCCGCGACGGAGACCGCCAACTCGGGAAGCCCGTCGTCCCCGAGATCTTTTGTGCGCCCAGGGCTGCCGATGTCAGCCTTGGATCCCCTGCATCTGGGTCCACCGTCGCCCCTCCGGTGCTCCACGCGCCCTGGCCTTTCGTCGCCTCCACTCGGCATGACGCGCTTGGAGTCGGCCTCGCCAGTCTCTGATTGCGCGGCCCTCGGCAGTTCTTTGTCGCCCAGGAGTTCCGCCCGCATTGGCTTGGCGGTATCCGCCTTGGACTCCGCAGCTGCAGGCTCGCCGCTGCCCCTGCGGTCCATGGCTCGCGCTGGCCCCGCGCCATCCCTGCCTGGTATGGCGCGCATCGGCCCGCCCCTGTCCGTTGCTGACAGCGCCGCCACGGGACCCACGGCGCCGCTCAGGAGCCCTGTGTACCTCGGCCCTGCTGTTCCCGCAATTGGGCTGGCGCGCCTCGGCCCCGTGTCCCCGCCGCTGGCGACGGAGATTGCGGCATCGGGCAGCCCTCCGCTACTGAGGAGCCCCGCACGCCCTGGCGTCTCGGTGTCCGCCTCTGGCTCCGCGGGTGCAGGCTCGCCGCCGCCCCTGAGGTCCATGGCTCGCACTGGCCCCGCGCTCCCCTTGTGCGGCATGGCACGCACTGGCCCGACTCCGTCCGTTGCTGACAGCGCCGCCACGGGACCCACGGCGCCGCTCAGGAGCTTTGTGTACCTCGGCCCTGCTGTTCCCGCAATTGGGCTGGCGCGCCTCGGCCCCGTGTCCTCGCCGCCGGCGACGGAGATTGCGGCATCGGGCAGCCCTCCGCTACTCAGGAGCCCCGCACGCCCTGGCGCCTCGGTGTCCGCCTCCGGCTCCGCGGGTGCAGGCTCGTCGCCGCCCCTGAGGTCCATGGCTCGCTCCGGCCCCGCGCCCCCCATGTGCGGAATTGGGCGCCTCGGCGCGGCCACACCTGCTAACGACGTCGGGAACATTGGAAGCTCGTCGCCGCCGCGGAGTCATGCAAGGCCTGGCCTGGCACCGTCAGCCATTGACTCCTTGCACCCAGGGTCAATCTCGTTGCCCAGGTCTTCTACGTGCCCCGGCTTATCGCCGTTGGCGTCTGACTTCGCCAGTGTGGGCGCGCCGCCCCCGCCGAGGAGCCTCTCGCACCTGGGCCCTGCAACGCCGCCGTCCGGCACGGCTCGCACCGGGCCGACCCCGCCCGCCTGCGATAGCGCGAGCACGGGCCCTGCCGCGCTGCCCAGAAGCCCTGTGCACTCTGGCTCGGCGCCCCCCGTGTGCGGCCTGTCAAGGGCGGGCTCCGTGTTCCCGCCGTCCGCGACGGAGACCGCCAACTCGGGAAGCCCGTCGTCCCCGAGATCTTTTGTGCGCCCAGGGCTGCCGATGTCAGCCTTAGATCCCCTGCATCTGGGTCCACCGTCGCCCCTCCGGGCCTACGCGCGCCCTGGAGCCCAGTCTCCATCGATGGGCATGACGCGATCGGAGTTGTCCCCACCAGGATCTGACTGCACGCATCCTGGCAGCCCTACGTCTCTCAGGAGTTCCGCACGCACGGGCGCCGCGGTGTCCACCTTTGACTCCGCAGCTACAGGCTCGCCGCTGCCCATGCGGTCCACGGCTCGCACCGGCCCCGCGCCATCCTTGCCTGGCATGGCGCGCACTGGCCCGCCCCTGTTAGCTGCTGACAGCGCCGCCACGGGACCCACGGCGCCGCTCAGGAGCCCTGTGTACCTCGGCCTTGCTGTTCCCGCAATTGGACTGGCGCGCCTCGGCCCCGTGTCCCCGCCGCCGGCGACGGAGATTGCGGCATCGGGCAGCCCTCCGCTATTGAGGAGCCCCGCACGCCTTGGCGCCTCGGTGTCCGCCTCTGGCTCCGCGGGTGCAGGCTCGCCGCCGCCCCTGAGGTCCATGGCTCGCACTGGCCCCGCGCCCTCCCTGCCCGGCATGTCACGCACCGGCCCGCCCTTGCTTGCTGCTGACGCCGCCACTGCAGGGCCTCCAGCGCCGCTCAGGAGCCCTGTGTACCTCGGCCCTGCTGTTCCCGCAATTGGGCTGGCGCGCCTCGGCCCCGTGTCCCCGCCGCCGGCGACGGAGATCGCGGCATCAGGCAGTCCTCCGCCAGTGAGGAGCCCCGCTCGCATTGCCGCCTCGGTGTCCGCCTCTGGCTCCGCGAGTGCAGGCTCGCCGCCGTCCCTGAGGTGCATCTCTCGCACCGGCGCCTCGCCCTCCTTGCCCGGCATTTCGCGCATCGGTGCGGCCACACTTGCTAACGACATCGGGAACATTGGAAGCTCGTCGCCGCCGCGGAGTCATGCAAGGCCTGGCCTAGCACCATCAGCCATTGACTCCTTGCACCCAGGGTCAAGTTCGTCGCCGAGGTCGCTTCTTTTCTTCGCTTTTGCTGCGTACGAAGGGTTGCGGGAATGCATGAACAGCCAGTGAGACATGCCTTCATATTTCGTTTCTTGTTTCTGGTTGCTCCCGTTGCATATCCATCTCATGCTCCTTAACCCGGTTGTTATGTTGTTGATCTTGCGTATCTCTCTCCTCCCGCTCCTGCTCCAATGTGTGCCTCTTATTAATTATCTTGTGATCCCGTATCTACATCAACCCGTCCTCTCCTTTTGCTGCCACTCGGCCCAAACCTTCATTAGCCCGCAGCTCACGCGTTGCCCGACGAGCGGACGCCGTGCGGAGCCGCCCACCCTCTGCATCGGCAGTGCTTCTGGGCGTCTGTGTCTCGTCTCGCTGTTCTCCCCGTCGGCTCCCCCCGTCCGTGCGGTGGGCCGGTCTGGGCGCGGTCGCCGGGCTCAACAAGTTCTGGGCGCCGCGAAATTTGGGCGCGCAGGCTACCCGCGTAAGGTCGCGCCTGAGCGCCCCTCGTCTCCAATGTAGCGTGCCGCGCTGGCGGCCCGCGCAAGCCGCCGCGTGAGGTCGGCGTGCCATCTCGCGCAGGACCCGCTTCTGATCGTCGCTCCACTTGCCATCGCTCGGACGTCCATTCCCTGTGCATTTTTCGGGTTCGCGTGTGTGTTGTTACCTACCTAGGCTCTGCCTAGAAGGGTTCTTACTCGGAGGTTCAAAGGGCCGGGCAGTGTGGCCCGCCCCGGGCGGTTCCCCAGGCATCCGCCCTGCGGTTCCCCCAGTGACGTTCCCTTAGCTTCGCGTTGCTTATCTCATCTTAGCTTAGCTTATTTCATTTCATCGTAGCTTAGCTTAGCTTAGCTTCATCTTAGCTCAGGTTTATCTTTGCTTAGCTTACGTTCATCTTAGCTTCGCTGAGCTTTAGCATAGCAGAGCACAGCATAGCGGTAGGAACCCCTACCTAGAAGTTGGAGCCCCTAGGAAAGCATAGCATATCATAGCATCGCATAGCGCAGCATAGCATAGCATAGCTTAGCATATCATAGCATAGCATAGCGCAGGTTAGCATAGCATATCATATCATAGCATAGCTTAGCATAAGACAGTGCAGCATGATATAGCATAGCTTAGCATAGCATAGCATAGCATAGCATAGCGCAGCATAGCATATCATAGCATAGCATTGCATAGCATTGCGCAGCACAATATGGCATATCATAGCATAGCTTAGCATAGCATAGCAACTCATGCTGCTTTCCTAGGGGCTCCAATTTCTAGGTAGGGTCGCACTGGGGTAATTGTTTGCTCGATGATCCAGGATGCTCCTCCAGGGTCCTCGCCAAGGAAAACATGCACACGTCCGAGCGATGCCAGGTCCGGTGTGCGCCTGGAGCGCCCGAGAGGAACGGGGCAGCACAGGCGCTCCGATCACGGGCGCCCCCCGCCTCTGCGGCGGGCGACTGCCCCCCCCCCCATGCGGGGGGCCGCGGTCGGCCGCGCGGGGGGCCCCGGCCACCGGGCGGGGGGGGGGGCGGGCGAGCCAGGAGAGCGTCGCGCCCCGCCCCGCCACGCGGGCGCTCACGAACGCGAGTTCCCGCGGGACGGGGCCTGCGCGAGGGCAGAGGAGCGAAAGGGGAGGCGGCGAGGGACCATTCCAGGCCCCCTCGCGCTGCGAAGAGGATCGTGGCAGGAGGTGCTTCGCCATCCTCGGCCCCTGGAGCCGCGGCCACCCCAGACCCCCCATCGCGCGGTGTAACAAATCACGACGGCGGGAGGTATTTCGCCATTTCCGGCCTTTGGAGGCCCTCGCCGGGCCTCCAGGTGCCGTCCAACGAAAACGGCTCGGGGCGAGAAGCTAGTCCCAGGGAAGGGGTCCAGACCTCCATAGAGTTGACGCCGTGAAAAAATCACGTCGTACGGGCCTAAAGGTCTGCCGGTTTGTCGAAAACTCATGCTGGAGGCCGGCATTGCCAGGCTCCGAACGGAAGCTGCGCTGCGAGCAGCACGCTTCTGTTGCACAGAAAAGGAATGTGGAATATGCATTGCTTGGCGAGCTGATACCGCCGTGCGCGCCTCATCGGATTGAGTAGGGCGGTCTTGGCGGAGCAAGAGGTCATGATAATGATACGCTCCTGGACTTTCAAGGTGTCCAGAGTTCCCCAGATTTCGCCCTAGAATCGCCCGGTGCGAACAGCCGCGCTAGGGCCCCTGCACCCCTATCGTGCGCCCTCGTGATAGACGGGTTGACCACAGGAGGGGCTGGCGCGGAGTGGGGAGGGCTCGTGCCCCACGGTGGCGCCGGGGGCCCGGGCGGCCGACGCGACACGTAGGAGGGCCACAGGCGAACCATGCCCCACCACCCCACGATTTCGAAGGGGGGAGGCGGGGTTCACGTCGCTCGGGGGGAGCCCCACCTCCCCCTCAGAAATCGTGGGGTGGTGGGGTAGGGTTCGCGTGTGGCCTCCTGCTCTAGGCCTCCCAGATAGGGTCGGAGCAGATGGGGTCGGATGATCGCGCCGGGTCGCCGGTGCATCGGCGATGCAGTTCGGCGTGGGGCCCGATTTTCTCCACGCTGGCGTCGCCGATGCATCGGCGATACGGCGCGATCCTCCATCCCCATCTGCTCGGGCCCCATCTAGGAGGCCTCTAGGTGTGGATATCGTGGCGGGGGCCATGAGATCTCTCTTGGTTTCACGACCCCCCTGGGCAGCGCACGTGCCTCGGGCCATGCTTTGCGAACCCCCCTCTTGGACGCTGCCGACATGAGGGCCGCGTGGAGGGCACGCGGCCGATGTTCGAAGGCTGTTTCTCCCGCGCGGGCTCTCATACCGAGGTCGCCTCGGCCAGGCCGGGCCGCGACGTCGAGACCAGTCGCTCACACCCAGAATTTTTTATCCATGCATGCGCCCGGTGGCGTGCCTGGATTTTATTCGGTATTGACCAGGCCGCTTGCTCGTTGTCGGCGCCAACGTCCACGTTGTGCCAGCAGGTTGCATGATGGCCGCGCTTGTTGTTTGTCGTTGCTGACCTTCTGGCCATGGCGTCCGGGTCCTGTTTCCCACCGTTCCTGGGGTTGGTGGCTGGCAATCGTCGGCTGGATTTGTCTACTAAGTTGCAGTCGCATGCGCCATTTTCAAAGGACGCGCGGTTGGATATGCCAAACATATCTACCATGTTTTCTGTTCGCCGTAAGCATGGGGGACCTGAGCAATTTCGCTCTCGCATCCGCGACGATGTCCGGCGTGCTGCCACAGCGATGACCTTACTTTGATGTTTACTTCTGGGCAGAAGTTCCACGGTTCCTGGGCTGCCTAGGCAACACTGACGGAGACGTTGTGGTGGTTTTGCTCGAGGTAATGTCGTCCATCGGGCCATGAGGCGTCCACCCAGTTGCAGAGCGCTTGGGTTGGAGCTTGAGCCGATTTTCATTGACATGTTTTTTTGTGTTTTGATGTTGATTGTCCACTCGGTGATGCTACGGCCTTTTTTATTATTGCTGGTTATTGCCACCCTTATCCTTCTCCAGATCATGCGCGGTTTCTTGGCTTTCTTCCCCTTTTTGTCCACCGTCCCTTCGTTCATTCCCATATTGCCATGCCATTAAGATCTTGCTCCTCCCATTCCTCCCATTCCTCTTCAATCCCTGGCCCTCCTGACCCTGACCCTCATCGTTGTCCTGCTCCTGATGTTCGTCTTCAATTCCTCTGCCATAGTATAAGCATGTCGTATGTCCTCCTCGTCGCACACTGTTACGTGTCAGTAGGTCGGGCCCGGTGTTTCGCTCGAGGGGTCTTCAATGTTTATGGCGATGTGGCCTGAAATCCCGCAGAGTCGAAGCGGAAGGAAGTCGGGTGGGTTTCAGTAGGTACGTGGCGCCGCGCACCGGCGTCTTACAAGCTCCTAGCAGTTCTACGGACGGACGGCGGGCGCATTTCAACATGGGTTTTAAACGTTTCCGTCAGGTGCACGTCCGTTTTGAACGTTTCCGTCAGGTGCATTGTTGGAAATATCAAGGTATTCAAGTTTGCGTTATCGCCGAAAAGCCGTGCACAGGCGTCATGCATGTGTCCAGCAGTTTCACGGATGGAGGGTTTGATCTGTTTCAACATTGATTTCTCGATAAGTGTCTTCTTTGGCAGTGGATATCGTGCAACAGTTGCGGGGATTTCTTTCATACTTGGGGCTCTCGTGTGAATTCACTTCAGCATTCTGCATATTTGGAAAGGCGGAGGGCGGTTCATGTCAATTGGGCACTTTCTGCAGTGCAGCGCCTATGAGGAGGGAATTTGCAGGGGACGGTGTAGTGCAGCATTTTTGTCGCATGAGGGGGTGGATGTTTGCTCCTCTCGTCATCACCATCCTTGTATTCCTCCGCCCTCGCTCTCCCTAGTAGTTCTTTCGACCCTTCCCTTCCCCTCGCCTCCCCCTCTCGATCGCTCCTCCATTCTCCTCCTCCTCTCATATCATAGCCCCTGCGCCCCATCCCCATCTTCCCCTGTCACGTCACCATCGCACTCGTCTGTCCTTTTCCTTCCCCGACCCCACCTCGAATACTCGCTCCCCCCCTTGTCCCTTCTCGCTCTCTTCACTCCTCCCTCATTCTTCCTTCTCTCCTCCCTGGTTTCGGGATCCCATCAAGCCTTTGCTCTTGCTCTGCTCT